CCATCAGAGAAATGCAGATCAAAACTACCATGAGATATCATCTCCCCCCAGCAAGGCTAGCATTAATCCAAAAAACACAAAATAATAAATGCTGGAGAGGTTGTGGAGAGACTGTTGGTGGGAATGTAAAATGGTACAGCCACTTCGGAAATCGATTTGGTGCTTCCTTAAAAAGCTAAAAATAGAAATACCATACAATCCAGCTATACCGCAACTGAGAATACATCCTAGAGAAACAGGAGCTGTCACACGAATAGATAAGTGCACACCCATGTTCATTGCAGCACTGTTCCCAACAGCAAAAAGATGGAAACAACGTAGGTGCCCATCAGTGGACGAATGGATAAATTATGGTATATCCACACAATGGAATACTACCCGATGATGAACAACGATGAAGCCGTGAAACATAACATGGAGGAAGCTGGAGGTCATTATGCTGAGTGAATTTAGTCAGTCACAGAAGGACAAATATTGTGTAAGACCACTATTATAAGTACTCAAGAAAAGGTTTAAGCACAGAAGAAAACCTTCTTTGATGGTTACGAGGGTGGGGAGGGAGGGTGAGGGTTATTTATTAACTAGATAGTAGATAAGAATTATCTTAGATGAAGGGAAGGACAGCACACACTACAGGGGAAGTCAGTACAACTGGACTAAATCAAAGCTGAGAAGTTTCCTGAATACAGTCAAACACTTTGAGGGACAGAGTGGTAGGGGTCAGGGGACCATGCTTTCAGGGGACATCTAGGTCAATTGGCATTACAAACCTTATTAAGAAAATGTTCTGCATCCTACTTTGGTGAGTGGCGTCTGGGGTCTTAAAAGCTTGCAAGCGGCCATCTAAGATGCATCAATTGGTCCCAACCACCTGGAGTAAAGGAGAATGAAGAACACCAAAGACACAAGGAAAGTATTAGCCCAAGAGACAGAAAGGGCCACATAGACCAGAGACTTCATCAGCCTGAGACCAGAAGAACTAGATGGTGCCCGGCTACCACCACTGACCGCCCTGACAGGGAACACAACAGACAGTCCCGGATTGAGCAGGAGAAAGGTGGGGTGCAGAACTCAAATTCTAGTAAAAAGACCAGACTTAATGGTCTGACTGAGACTGGAGGAACCCCAGAAAGCATGGCCCCCGGATTCTCTATCAGCCCAGAACTAAAACAGTTTCCAAGGCTAACTCTTCAGACAGGGATTGGACTGGACTGTGGCACATAAAGTGATACTCGTGAGGAGTGTGCCTCTTAGCTCAAGCTAAGCTTCTGTCCGGAGGTGAGATGGGAAGGCAGAGAGGGTTAGGAGCTGGTTGAATGGACATGGGGAATCGGGTGGAAAGGAGGAGTGTGTGTCACAGTATGGGGAGAGCAGTTAGGGTCACATAACAATGTATAAATTTTTGTATGGGAAAAAATTTAAAATATATATAGGACAAAAGAAAAAAAAAAAAAAGAAGGCCCCACAGGCCCTCTTTCTTGGCCACATCTGCTATTGATCCTAACAACCTGTTGCCATCGAGTAGATTCCGATTCAGTAGAACTGCCCCGTAGAGTTTCCAAGGATGCTTGGTGGATTCGAACTGCTGACCTTTTGGTTAGCAGCTGTAGCACTTAACCACTACGCCACCAGAGTTTCCAGTTGATCCTAATACAAAGTCTTATTGTAAAGTAGGTTGAAAATAATCTAAAGAAGATCATTCTGGAGAACACTGCTCAAGCTCTCCTGCAGCACCCCATCCCCATCCCCAGCCCGTAGCATGAGAAGGTGAGAGCACCTAGGAGAACTTGCTCGTAATTCCTTGCACTGATCCCTAAGGCCCTCTTGCTCTACTGGGATGGCAATGCTGGTCTAAGAATTGCAAAACCATATCATTTCAGAGCTTTAAAAATCTGACCACAAAGTGACAAGAAAACTTATTTGTTTGCTCAACAGACCCCAGTACTTTATTTTACCTTTACAAAGGCATTTTAAGTGAATTAAAAAAAAAAAAAAATCACAGTATCCAAAAAAAAAAAAAAGTTTTCCTTGGCTGATTTTCAGAAGTAAACCGCCAGGCCTTTCTTCCTAGTCTGTGTTAGTCTGGAAGCTTCACTGAAACCTGTCTCCCATGGGTGATCCTGCTGGTATTTTATATACTGGTGGCTTAGCTTCCAGCATCACAGCAACACACAAGCCACCGCAAGAGCACAAACTGACAGTCAGGTGGTGGCCCCCAGTCCTAGTCAACCATGAATCTACTTCCTGTCTCTATAGATTTGCCTGTTGTAGACGTTTTATAGAAATTGTGAGTGACTTCTTTCACTTAACACAATGTTTTGAAAGTTCATCCATATTGTAGCATCTTTGAGTATTTTGTTCCTTTTTATTGCCAAATAATATTCCATTGTATGGATACGTCACATTTTGTGTATCCATTCATCAGCTGACAGACACTTGAGTTGTTTTTGAGGATTATAAATAATGCTGCTGTGAACATTTGCGTGCAGGCTTTTCTGCGAACATATTTTCATTTCTCTTGGGTATATACCTAGGAGTGGGATTGCTTAAGAGCTTGTGGTAACTCTGTTTAACCATTTGAAGAACTACCAACCTGTTTCCCAAAGTGATTGCACCATTTTACATTCCTGCCAGCAGTGCATGAGAGTTCTATTTTCTCCACATCATTTCCAGCAGTTGTTATTGTCTGTCTGTCTGTTATAGCCATCCTAGTGGGTGTGAAGCAGTAACTCATTGTGATTTTGCTTTGCATTTTCCTGACAGCTAATGATGTAGATAGAGCATCAGTTTGTGTGCGCGTCAGCCGTTTGTATATCTTCTTAGGAGAAGTGTCTGTTCAGCAGTCCCTTTGCCCATTTTTTAATTGGGTTATTTGTCTTTTTATTGAGTTAAAAGAATTCCTTATACATTCTACATACAGGTCCCTTATCAGATACATGATTTGGAAATATTTTCTCCCATTCTCTGGTGTGTCTTTTCACCTGCTTGATGTTTTCCTTTGCAGCCAAGAAGTGTTTCATTTGGATGAACTCCAATTTATCTATTCGAGGGTGTGCTTTTGGTGCCATGTCTAATTAACCATTGCTTAATTCAGGGTCACGAAGTTTGTGTCTGTGTTTTCTTCTAGGAGTTTTGTAGTTTTTAGCTCTTAGGTTTAAGTCTGTGCTCTACTCTGAGTCAATGGTGTTAGGTACCCAGCTTCATTCTTTTGAATGTAGATACCCAGATGTCCTAGCACCCTGTGTTGAATGGACTGTTTTGTCCTCGTTGAATTGACTTAGCACTCTTGTAAAAAATCAGTCGACTATAATTATAAGAGCTTATTTCTGAACCCTCAGTTCTGTTACTTAGATTTAGATATTTATCCTATGCCAATACCACACTGTTTTGACTACTGTAGCTTTGTAGTAAGTTTTGAAATTAGGAAAAGTGATTTCTCCAACTTTGTTTTTCTTTTTTAAGATTGTATTGGCTATCCTAGGTTCCTTGCATTTGCATGCGCATTTTAGGATCATTTTGTCAGTTTCTGCAAAGAACCCAGCTGAAATTGTAATGAATTGCGTCGAATCTGTAGATGAATTTGGGGAGTACTGCTATCTTAACAGTATTAAGTCTTCTGATCCTTGAATATGGAATGCCTTTCTATTCGTTTAGGTAGGTCTTTTATTTCTTTCAACATTGTTTTGTAGTTTTCAGAGTATAAAATTTAGACTTCCTTAGTTAAATTTATTCCTAAGTATTCTTTTTGATGTTATTGTAAATGGAATTTTTTGTTTTGTTTATTGTTGTAGCTTAAATGAAGTTTACATTTCAAGTTAGTCTCCCATACAGAAATTTATACATACATTGTTATGTGACCCTAATTGCTTTCCCCATACTGTGACAGCACCACACTCCTCCTTTCCACCCCTGATTCCCCATGTCCATTCAACCAGCTCCTAACCCTCTCTGTCTTCCCATCTCACCTCCGGACAGAAGCTGCCTGTTTAGTCTCTTGTGTCTGCTTGAGCTAAGAGGCACACTCCTCATGAGTATTACTTTCTGTCCTACAGTCCAGTCCAATCCCTGTCTGAAGAGTTGGCCTTGGAAACTGTTTTAGTTCTGGGCTGATAGAGAATCTGGGAGCCATGCTTTCTGGGGTTCCTCCAGTCTCAGTCAGACCATTAAGTCTGGTGTTCTTACTAGAATTTGAATTCTGCTCTCCACCTTTCTCCTGCTCCTTCTGGGACTCTCTGTTGTGTTCCCTGTCAGGGCAGTCATTGGTGGTAGCCGGGCACCATCTAGTTCTTCTGGTCTCAGGCTGATGAAGTCTCTGGCCCTTTCTAATTTTTTTCTTAATTTTACTTTCTGATTGTTCATTGTACGTTTATAGAAATACTACTGATTTGTGTATTTTGATCTTATATCATGCCACTTTGCTGAAAAATCAGTAACTTCTAAAAAATAAAAAGATAAAAGTAATTTTAAACTTTTATTTCTAAAACCAATTTTAGAGATTGTCATTTGACCCATATGATGTTCAAATTGGTATACTAAGTTATGTCATAAGGCTTTCCTAGTGATTGGGGGGAGGAGGGGATAGATTAGCTTCAATTTTCTCCTTGCCATGTCAATTGATTGATATATTTTCAGACTCTTATTCTCTGGACTCACCTGCATCCAGGGAGTTGTATGAATTGAAAGTGAGTGTAGATAGGAGATTTTAAGAGGTCTGGCTTTACACCCAGTGTTCAGTCCAGGCAGAGTGATTTTAAGGGACCACTTAGAAGAACTTTCATTACAAGCATTTTGATTTCTTACTTGTTTATCCATCTCTGACCCAAATCCTTTTCTTTGTTTTATTGATTTTTGTTTGGTTAATTCCTTCTGAAAGTGCTTCCTTTCATTCTTTTTTCTTTATTCTTTTAAATATATATATATCAATAGACAAAAATTTCAAAGGAGTGCTAGGACTAGCTTTTGATCACTTTGTCACTTTGTGTACCTGGACTTTCTAACAGGTTTCCGATGCGTATCAACCAGGACTGAACCCTGAATTCCAAGCTCCACTGGCACTTCAGTCTGGTGTAGATCAAGAAGAAGACAAGAAAGTGGTATGTAATGATATTGCTTTTGGACACCAGTGTTTCTCCTGTCATAGTATCTGTGAATTTGGAAGCAATTTATGTGTCACAACACATTAAGAGCTAATACTACCAAGTCCGCAGATAAGGGTATAGTTGCTTGAGTCATTTTTTCAAACTCCTAGGATTTAGGGTACACTGATGTGAAATCAGAGATCTAATGCTAGTGAATTTCTCCAGCAAGTGCCTATTGACCACAATAATTTATTTAAAGGAGGCCTTTTAATTTAAAAACCTGTTACCGTCGAGTGAATTCTGACTCATAGAGATCCTATAGGACAGAGTAGAACTGCCCCATTGGGTTTCCAAGGAGCAGCTGATGGAGTTGAACTGCTGACCTTTTCGTTAGCAGCTAAACATTTATTTAGTACTCCCTTCTTTTCAATCTAAAGTTAAACTAGCAGTTCTTCATCCTGGCCTTGCACCACAATCAGAAGTGGAGCTTTTTTCAAAATACAGATGTCTAGGCCCAACCCAGATATACTGAATTAATACCTGAAAAGGTATGTTTGGAGCACCTGTGATGTTTAAGAATACCGCATTTTTATGATACATCTTCAAACTGCCCTAATATATACATAGATGTGTTTTTGTCTTTTGAGAAAGTTGAATCCTTAAAAGAGAACATCTAAATCCAGACGTATGAACAGATCACACACGAGGTAGCAGCACTTGCTGTTACTGTACTTGGTCCCTTTAAGAGTATGATGTTCTAATGCACCTCAGCCCTTCTGTCCCCCTTCGCCCCCCCACCCCCACCCCGTGGCAGGCTGGGCTTTGAGTCCCTCCCCATCCCCCACCGTGGTGGGTCGGGCTTAGAGTATGCTTCTGTGGCATGACTTTCATTTTGAAAAGTTAGAGTGACTAGTGTCCTGTTGTAAAATACCTCTCACATTCTTTCTGTGGCTCTGCTGTTATGGGGCTTAAATATAATATATATCTTATATTTGATCGTTTCCTCGAGTACTGTTGACAAGGGACTATTCTAAGGGCAAACTAAATTACTGTATTTTTTTCTCTGGTTTGTCTACAATACCTAATAGCTGTGTGCTTGATATATATAAAACTCTTGCTGTCCGTAATATTATCCTGAGTTCCTGTAAACAGAAGAGAATTACGAACTTAGTCCCATGTGACTTCTCTATCATATAGTTTTCTTGTCTGTGGCGGCATAAGGATATTTTCCTTCTTCAGAAAGTCCTCTCGAGAGCAGAATCTTAAGAATGAAAACTTCTTTCCTTTAGCGTCAAAAGCAGTACCTGAGATATAAACGACTTTTCATGGATATGGAGCGAGAACAAGTAAAGGAACAACAAAGGCAAAAAGAACATAAGAAGAAAATTGAAAAGTAAGCTCTTTGATCCTCATCGTGAGCCTTGAATTGCTAGTTAAGATGTTTTAGGAGGTTATGGTGTAGAAATAATCAGGCAGTGGTTTTGCCTTCTGATCTATAGTGAAAACAACTATTTTATTTTTTAATTGTAAAATATACAAAACGTGAAAGTTGCCATTTGAACCATTTTGAAGCGTACAGTTCAGTGGCATTAATCACATGCACAATGGGAAGGAACTGCTTTTGGTCTGGGTGTAGTACTCAGAGACAGTGGACAGTTCTGTTTTTTAACATACAGGTCCTCGCTGAATTTCCCCCTGAGCTCAACCTCAGTAGTCTTTTTTTAAAAATTTTATTAAGTTTTAGGTGAAAGTTTACAGCACAAATTAGTTTCTCATCCAAAAATTTATACACAAATTGTTTTGTGACATTGGTTGCAATCCCACATTGTGTCAGTACTCTCCCCTTTTCCCTTCGCACCATAGGTTCTCCATGTCCGTGCGTCCAGGTTTCCTGTCCTTTCCTGCTTTCTCATCTTTGCTTTTGAGCAGGTGTTGTCCATTTGGTCTTGTTTACTTGATTGAACTAAGAAGCACACTCTTCGTATGTGTTGTTTGTTTTATAGGCCTGTCTAATCTTTGGTTGAAAGTTGGACTTCGGGAGTGGCTTCACTTCTGAGTTAGCAGGGTGTCTGGGGGCCATAGTCTTCGGGGGTTCCTCCAGTCTCTGTCAGACCAGTAAGTCTGGTCTTTTTTTGTGAATTTGAATTTTGTTCTACATTTTTCTCCTGCTCTGCCCAGAGTCCTCTATTGTGATCTTTGTCAGAGTGGTTGGTGGTGGAAGCTGGGCACCATCTAGTTCTTCTAGGCTCAGGCTGGTGGAGGCTGTGGTTCATGTGGTCCATTAGTCATTTGGACTAATATTTGTCTTTGGTTTTCTTTGTTCTCCTATGCTCTGAACGTGATGGGACCAATAGATGTATTTTAGACGGCCGCTAGCAAGTTTTTAAGACCCCAGATGCTACTCACCAAAGTAGGATGTAGAACCTTTTCGTCATGAACTATGTTATGTCAGTTGACCTGAATGTCCCCCAAGACCATGTTCCTCATCCTCAGCCTCAGTAACTCAGTCCCTCAAAGTGTTCGGATGTGTCTGTGAAGCTTCTGTGACTTTGTCTTGGTCAAGTTGTGCTGACTTCCCCTATATTGTTTATTGTCTTTCCCTTCACCAAAGTTAACACTTGCCTACTATCTAGTTAGTGATTTCCCCTCCCTGCCTTGTAACCATCAAAGATGGTTTCTTTCTGTGTGTAAAGCTTTTCTTGGGTTTTTATAGTAGTGGTCTCATATAGTGTTTGTCCTTTTATGATTGACTTATTTCACTCAGTGTATATGCCCTGCAGGTTCATCCATGTTGAAAGATGTTTCGCAGATTCACCATTGTTCTTTATCATTGAGGAGTATTCCATTGTGTGTATGTACCATAGTTTTTTAAATTCATTCATCTGTTAATGGGTACTTAGGTTGTCCATCCATTTGCTATTGTGAGTAATGCTGCAATGAACATGGGTGTACATATGTCTATTCATTTGACGGCTCTTATTTCGCTAGGATATATTCCTAGGAGTGGGATTGCTGGACCGTATGGTACTTCTACTTCTAACTTTCTAAGGAGGCGCCATGTCATTTTCCGTAGTGGTTGTACCATTTTACATTCCCACCCGCAGGGCATAAGAGTTCCATTCTCCCCTCAACCTCTCCAACATTTGTTGTTTTCTGTTTTTTAATTAGTGCCAGTAATGTTGGGTGAGATGTGGTTTTGATATGCAGTTCTCTAGTGGTTAATGACCGTGAGCATTTCCTCATGTGTTTGTTAGCTGCCTGAATGCCTTCTTCGGTGACGCAACCTCGGTAGTCTTGACGAGCTTCATAGTGTTCCTTGACTTCTAAGAAATGCTTAAAAAATGATAATGAAATCTCATAGATCAAATTTGAGGATTCATTTTATCAGATATTATTGACCTACTGTGTATAATGCACTAAACAAAGTGCTAATTGTATGTGAAAATACTTTGAAATTTGTGAAGTGCTACAAAAGATAAGGGAGTAACACTTTTCTGTTGTAATATTATATATCATACATGTGATGCAATGAGTTATTTTGGCCTTTTCCCTTGGTTCTTTGGAAAAACAGCTTGGGAGATTTTCCCCCAAGCCCTGAGGAGTTACTACGTTTGTCCTCGTTCTTTGAAGAAGCAACTTGGGGTGGCGGTTGGTCTCCCAGGTTATTTTCTACCCCAGAGGCTTTGTTACTTTTACCCAGGGGTTTCCCCAAGTTAATTGACATTTCCAGGGTAAGCTGCAGACAAGCTGATGGTTTGATACTTTTGTCTGATAATTAACAAGACCTGAGTTGATTGACATCTAATAGGTAATTGAAGATTGGTTGAACTCTGGTCTGGTGAGGGAGTCCCTGCCTTGTGACTGACGAGAATCAGGCTGAAACTGAAACACAGAGATTGGAGAGACAGATGTTGTCTAAGACCTGGGCTGACAGAGAAACAGAGAGATGTGGGAGCTGAGTGGTCTCGAAGCTGCTACACTGGCTGTGAGGTGGGCCTGTTAGCAGTGGAGAACCAACAGCAGAGAGGGCCTGATGGCAGAGAACAGCTAAGGGAGCTAAGCAAGCTGTTACAATGGCTATGAGCTGCGCCAGTTCGCAGTGGAGAGCCTTACGGCAGAGAGCTGCTGCTAGGAGAGCAGCAGCTTAGAGAGCTGAGTGAGCTGCTGCACTGGCTGTGAGCTGGGCCAAGTAGTGGCATAAAGGCCAACAGCAGAGAGGCTGATGGTGGAGAGGTCCAATGGCGGAGAGGCCTGACAGTGGAGAGCAGCTGAGAGAGCTGTCCTGGTCAGAAGCTTTTCTGCACTGAAGAAGGGATGAATGTGTCCTCTATTTCAGGAGGACCCTTCCAGACCTTGCCTGTGTGCTCTCTGATCCTGATCTTGAATTGTTGCTGTCACTTCCAGGTTGATCCTGATCCCAACTTGTGGCCTGTTACTTCCCTAATAAACCACATAACTGTGAATATGGTCTGTGAGTTCTCTGTGGCCATTGCAATGAATTATTGAATATAGCAGAGAAGTGGAGAGTTCTGTGGAGGGAACAACTGGTGTCAGAAATGGTGAAGAAGTTGGAGGGCAGAGGTATGTCTGACTTCCACCTGATAGGAACCAGCCTTGTACTGATCCTGATTTTTATCCCTCATGAATTTAGATAATTTCTTTTGTTGCATTATAATGCAATAACAGAAATAGCTACAGGGTTATTGTAATGTGCTAACAGTGAGGTCAGGTAGCCTAATGGATAGTCTTTGGACCTGAAGGTTTACTAATTTTGCAGTGCTACTTCAACTCAATGAAAGCAAATAAACCATTTTATTAGTAAACTTCTCCTTCTCCAATATTATTAATAAGCCTTCCTTCATTTTAATGGGCGATTACTTTTGTAATAGAAGTATTCTTTATTTAGAAAAGAGTTCTTTTTTTTTTATTGATGTAATTAAATGAAGTTTACATTTCAAGTTAGTCTCCCATATAGAATTTTCCTTCTTTTTTTTTTTTAATATACATTATTATGAGACCCCAACCACTCACCCCATTTTGTGACAGCACACTCCTCCCCTCTGCCCCTGATTCCCCATGAACATTCAACCAGCTCCTAACTCTCTCTGCCTTCCCCTCTCACCTCTGGACAGAAGCCGCCCCTTTGGTCTCTTATATCTACTTGTCTAAGCGGCACATTCTTCACGAGTATCACTTTTTGTCCCACAGTCCAGTCCAATTCCTGTCTGAAGAGATGGCCTCGGAAATTGTTTTAGTTCTGGGGTGATGGAGAGACCAGGGGCCAGGCTTTCCGGGGCTCCTCCAGTCTTAGTCAGACCATTAATTCTGGTCTTCTTACTCGTATTTGAGTTCTGCATCCCATCGTTCTACTGCTCCATCAGGGACCTTCTGTTGCGTTCCCTGTCAGGACGTTCATTGGTGGTAGCCAGGGGCACCATCTAGTTCTTCTGGTCTCAGGCTGATGAAGTCTCTGGTTTATGTGGCCCATTCTGTCTCTTGGGCCAATACTTTCCTTGTGTCTTTGGTGTTCTTCATTCTCCTGTACTCCAAGTGGTTGGGACCAATTGATGCATCTTAGATGGCCGCTTGCAAGCTTTTAAGACCCCAGACGCCACTCACCAAAGTAGGATGCAGAACATTTTCTTAATAAGGTTTGTTATACCAATTGACATAGATGTCCCCTGAAAGCATGGTCCCCAGACCCCGCATCCCTGCTACTCTGTCTCTCAAAGTATTTGATAGTATTGAGGAAACTTCTTAGCTTTGGTTTAGTCCAGTTGTGCTGGCTTCCCCTGTAGTGTGTGCTGTCCTTCCCTTCACCTAACAAGAAAAGAGTTCTTTTAAAAGACAAGTACCCCTTGTGTAGTAACCATGGCAGAGGAAGTATTTATTGAGCCCTATTAAGTGCTTTACCTTGTATTTTTATTCGTGGAATCATTCATTCAGGCTTGCCTCTAATAAATGCAGGCTTACATACTGTCTTAGTCATCTAGTGCTGCTATAACAGAAATACCACAAGTGGATGGTTTTAACGAAGAGAAGTTTATTTCCTCACAGGTAAGTAGGCTAAAAGTCCAAATTCAGGGCGTCAGCTCCAGGGGAAGGCTTTTTCTCTCCGTCGGCCTTCTTCTCTTTGGTATTCCCCCGGACTAGGAGCTTCTCTGTGCAGGGACCCCGGTCCAAAGGACACGCTCTGCTCCTGGCACTGCTATCTTGATGGTATGAGGTCCCCCTGTCTCACCGCTCACTTCTGTCTTTCATATCTCAAGAGACTGCCTCAGGACACAATCTAGTCTTGTAGATCAGGTCCTGCCTTACTAACACAACTGCCTCATTAACATCATAGAGGCAGGTTTACAACATACAGGAAAATCACACAGTACCAGGAATCAT